TATATATATACATATATAAATAGTACTTACCTATATATAGTATTGCATCGTTCCATAGACATCGCGAGAAATTTATTTATAAAACAGTACAAAAATAAATTCTTAAATTTAAACTATAACATCCCCTATATTTTTAATCTAAACTTTTGGTGATATTTTATATGCGCAAATACTTGTACATAACTATTAAATAAGCGTCGCACAAATATTTGCATTATAATACTTTTTCAATTATTTTGCAATTCTCGCGATGTCTCTCTAAACTGACGCAATCTTTTATTGAAATATACGAAATAAATAAATTATTTTTTGATTCCGATTTTTAATTAATTAAGCTATCAGTCGTGCTATTGGCTGCCTTCCTCAATATATATATGTGTGTTAAAAAAATCTGGGGCAGAAATTACTTTCGTTTAGAGAGATATTTAAAGTTAATAAATTTAATGTTTCGATTTCAAATCGAGATAACGCCTTTGGCGCGGTACATTTTTTTTTATAAATCTTCCGAATTTCGTGACAATTGTTTTATACATAATGTTCTTTTTTGCATAAAAAATCACACACACAACTATTATACATGTTGTATATCTATCTATAGAGATAAATGAAGAAATGATATATTTCGCTGAGAGGGAAGATATAACGTGATTATTACTCGAGTGCGGATACAAAACAAGTGGTCTTCGCGAACGCGCAATGATAACATTATTTGACCAAAGTAATAACGCTGTTACCTCTTTTTCTCGCTAGATGTATACTATATCTATACAAGTCATGCTTCGTGTATATCAAGAGCTCTGCAATTAAAGTAACTATCTCTCTTTCTCTTTCTCGGCAACATGACATTATTTTCATTACACGATCTTGTATTGTGTATCTCTCTCCATCTCTTTCTCTCTCTCTCTTATCTCTAAATGTACAGGATTTAAATTATGTATATAGGATTTTAATTGTATAAATAACCTGTAACATGTACATATATATTTTTATATGCTTTTCTATAACGTCCTTCCTTGAAATAGATAGTTAAATTATAACAGCTAAGAGTACAAGAATTATTATACAAATAGATTATTAAATTACAATAATTATTATAAGGAACAATCGAAGTGCAAAAGTAACATGTTGCACTTCAAAATATTCACATTTACATCAGATCGTTGTGGCTTAATCGTCGCTCTATTATGACAATATTCGTCATGTTTGATAATTCAAATTCATCATTTGTCGTCAAAGTATTAAAGCAAGAAATGTATTTGTAGTTCGACAACTTTCAATTCATCCACGGTGGACAGGATGTCGGCGGCTGATATGTCTGAGAGATTGGCACCTGATAATGCTGCATTGCTTGAGGGGGATGCTGTAGCCGCGGTTGTTGGTGATGGGGCGGCGGTGGTGGTGGCGGATTGCAGATTGACTGCATCAATGGATGCGCATTGTAAGGAGGCGGCTTCGTCG